TCCTTCAAATGCTTTGCTTCAATGAAGCAGAGCTTCCTTCATTGTTCCCTTTCTTTCCCTAAGTTATTGCCAGGCTTTGGGGTATAAGTCAATAGTAGTGTAGTCATTAAATTTCAGTTATAATGTGCCTTTTTAAGCTGATTCTAAGGAAGAATTTTTTGCAGATTCCAAATGGGATAGAGTTGGATTTAACAGACATTTATTTATTTTTAAGTTAGATTTTTAAAAAATCACTATTTGACCCTACTTCCAATGCAAATTTTGGAATATAGAACCAAAATAAAATAAAATTCATCTAGTTAGAAACATTGTTGAGCTTAAATGTCATGAAATGAAAGTCACTCAGTCGTGTCCAACTCTTTGCAATCCCAAGGACTATGCAGTCCTTGGAATTCTTCAGGCCAGAATACTGGAGTGGGTAGCCGTTCCCTTCTCCAGGAGATCTTCCCATCCCAGGAATTGAACTGGGGTCTCCCGCATTGCAGGTGGATTCTTTACCAACTGAGCCACCAGGGAAGCCCTAAATGTTATGAGTGTTTGCTTTATTTCAATGGGATGGAAATTTTCTCTTCTTTTAATAATGTAACATTTTACACATACAAAAAGATATTGGAGCAGATATCTGACTTATAAAGCATAATGATGAACACCCATGAGTCCACTTAGACTTCACTGTTTGACTTAAGTAGAAAATATTGCTATTAAGTCTTCCTATGTGTTTTCCTCCCACTCCATTATATTCTCCACCCTCCTTTTCAGAATTAAGTGCTCTCCAGAATTTTGTTTGTTCTTTGGTAACTTTTACCAGCCGTATCTTTTTGCCTATGGCGAAAAGGTTGTTTTGTTTCTTTGTTTGTCACCATTTCACTTTAATCTCAAGGAACTGACATCCTCAGGCTAATATTTAGCATATTAAATCGCAAGTTCTCATATGTAAGTTTCTAAGTATAGTCTGAACATAGTTGACTTCAATGCATATGTTACCAAAGTCTGTCATCAGACTTGATTTTATAAAATATTACAAAATCAGCTCCTTCATTTTACTGAACATGTAGCATCCATATGGTAGATACTTTCTCTATGCTGCTTAGCCTTTTCCAGCATTACTATTGTGTTTTAGTCCCCATACATTGATCAAATGGAAGGAGGGGGGAAAAAATCACTTGTGAATATAGCATTTGTGTATTCTCAAACTTTGCTAGTTATATTTAATCACATGCTTATAAAATCCAAATTAGTTTTCAAATACTATATATTTTAAATCAAATTGACTTTGTGGTTTTATGTTTATATTTCAGAATGGTCATAGGGTCATTATTCATTTAGATTATCTTATCTTTTATTATGCAATATTAGAAATAGCATGTTTATATTTATTTGCCTTCCTGTATACTCAGTGTTCAGTGTAAGAGATAATAAAAAATACATTTTTTAAAAAAAAACATTGTTACTCAACAGTAAAGTAACCATAAATCACCATTGTTATATATAATGCAGTTCAAATCAAAGATTAGTTATCCAAGGATATAGCTTAGACGATAAGGCTTTTTAAAAGCTATTTCCTTGAATTTGTGGAATTAAATACCCTCAAGGGTAAAAATTCTTTTTGACTTTATAAACTTTTCCCTAGTTGTAGAAATAATGCTTTCTGTATTTGTACTAATGATTGAGAAGCATCTTAGGAACTGAAAATGAAGAGAGTTCATTTTTCATTTTCCAGTTTGAATTAAAAGATGAATGAAAACCAAGAAAACTTACCTAATGTATACATTGAATCTTGTAACATTTATGCTTTGTCTTATACAGTTAGGCTAGTTTTAGGCAAGGGGACCTCCCAGGTAGCTTGGTAAAGAAACTGCCTGTCAAAGCAGGAGATGCAGGAGACGCAGGTTCAGTCCCTGGTTCGGGAAGATCCTCTGGAGGAGGAAATGGCAACCCACTCCAGTATTCTTGAACAGAGGAGCCTGGTGTGCTATAGTCAATGGGGTTGCAGGAGCCGGACACGACTGAGCACACGCGCGTATAGTCATTGGCAGAGATAGGTCCTGGAAAAGACAATGCCAGGCAGCCAGTTAGGATTGGTTGTTATTAGTAGGATGTCAGTAGAACTCCTTGTATAACCAGCTGGTTCTTTGTCAGTCACAGGAAGGACAGCAGATCCAAAAAAGATGATGTTTGACCATGAACAGAAATGTGGGTAGAATCAATTTAGTTAAGATCATTGGCAGAATTTTAAAAAATTCTAACCATGAAAATAACTCTTAATGTGTGATGGGTTGAAAGATACAGGAATGCTTAGAAATTAAACTGAATGAGTCTTATATTCTGAAATATCCTAGAATTATTTGGCCTACTTTATCACAGACAGACCTGTTTTTGTCTCAAACAACTGACCTTTTAAAACAGGCTTCTTTTCCTAGTATACCAGGCTGTGTCTTCATATCTTCAGGATACCTTAACATGAAAGTTTATTCTAGGAATACTTGAGCATTTCCATTTCATTCATGTATATTAGCAAAGTGAAAGTCACTCAGTTGTGTCTGAATCTTTGTGACCGCATGGAATACACAGTCCGTGGAATTCTCCAGGCCCGACTACTGGAGTGGGTAGACTTTCCCTTCTCCAGAGAATCTTCCCAACCCAGGAATCAAACCCAGGTCTCCCACATAGCAGGAAGATTCTTTACCAGCTGAGCCACAAGGGAAGCCCAAGATTACTGGAATGGGTAGCCTTTCCCTTCTCCAGGGGATCTTCCTGACCCAGGAATCGAACTGGGGTCTCCCAGATTACAGGCGGATTCTTTACGAACTGAGCTGTCAGGAAAACTTGTATATTACCAAGCCAGACTTTAATAAAAACTTTTTACTGTTGGAACTCTTTGTCAAAAATTTTCTTTTTACTCTTTTCTTTAAGTCATTCTCTACTAATACTGTGCTTTGCTTTAATTGTATTAAATTAATACACAGAAATCCCTTGCATTCCTGTGCACTGAGAAAACAGAAAGAGAAATTAAGGAAACAATCCCATTCACCATTAAGACGAAAAGAATAAAATACTTAGGAATGAATTTACCTAAAGAAACAAAAGACCTATGTATAGAAAACTATAAAACACTGATGAAAGAAATCAAAGATGACACAGATAGATGGAGAAATATACCATGTTCATGGATTGGAAGAATCAATGTAGTGAAAATGAGTATACTTCCCAAAGCAATCTACAGATTCAGTGCAATTCCCCATCAAGCTACCAATGGTACTTTTCACAGAACTAGAACAAATAATTTCACAATTGGTATGGAAACACATAAAACCTCAAATAGCCAAAGCAATCTTGAGAAAGAAGAATGGAACTGGAGGAATCAACCTGCCTGACTTCAGACTATACTACAAAGTTACAGTCATCAAGACAGTATGGTACTGGCACAAAGACAGAAATATAGATCAATGGAACAGAATAGAAAGCCCAGAGATAAATCCACGAACCTATGGTCACCTTATCTTCGACAAAGGAGGCAAGGATATACAATGGAAAAAAGACAACCTCTTTAACAAGTGGTGCTGGGAAAACTGGTCAACCACCTGTAAAAGAATGAAACTAGAACACTTTCTAACACCATACACAAAAATAAACTCAAAATGGATTAAAGATCTAAATGTAAGACCAGAAACTATAAAACTCCTAGAGGAGAACATAGGCAAAACACTCTCCGACATAAATCACAGCAGGATCCTCTATGACCCACATCCCAGAATTTTAGAAACAAAAGCAAAAATAAACAAATGGGACCTAATGAAACTTAAAAGCTTTTGCACAACAAAGGAAACTATAAGCAAGGTGAAAAGACAGCCCTCAGATTGGGAGAAAATAATAGCAAACGAAGCAACAGACAAAGGATTAATCTCAAAAATATACAAGCAACTCCTCCAGCTCAACTCCAGAAAAATAAATGACCCAATCAAAAAATGGGCCAAAGAACTAAACAGACATTTCTCCAAGGAAGACATACAGATGGCTAACAAACACATGAAAAGATGCTCAACATCACTCATTATCAGAGAAATGCAAATCAAAACCACAATGAGGTACCATTACACGCCAGTCAGGATGGCTGCTATCCAAAAGTCTACAAGCAATAAATGCTGGAGAGGGTGTGGAGAAAAGGGAACCCTTTTATACTGTTGGTGGGAATGCAAACTAGTACAGCCACTATGGAGAACAGTGTGGAGATTCCTGAAAAAGCTGGAAATAGAACTGCCATATGACCCAGCAATCCCACTGCTGGGCATACACACCAAGGAAACCAGAATTGAAAGAGACACGTGTACCCCAGTGTTCATTGCAGCACTGTTTATGATAGCTAGGACATGAAAGCAACCTAGATGTCCATCAGAAGACGAATGGATAAGAAAGCTGTGGTACATATACACCATGGAATATTACTCAGCTATTAAAAAGAACACATTTGACTCAGTTCTAATGAGGTGGATGAAACTGGAGTCTATTATACAGAGCGATGTGAGTCAGAAAGAAAAACACCAATACAATATATTAATGCATATATATGGAATTTAGAAAGATGGTAGTGACAACCCTATATGTGAGACCGCAAAGACCACAGGTGTAAAGAACAGACTTTTTACTCTGTGGGAGAAGGCAAGGGTGGGATGATTTGAGAGAATAACATTGAAACATGTATATTACTGTGTGTGAAATAGATGACCAGTGCAAGCTTGATGCATGAAGCAGGGAACTCAAAGCTGGTGCACTGGGCCAACCCAGAAGGATGGGATGGGGAGGGAGGTGGGAAGAGGGTTCAGGACTGGGGGGCACATGTACACCCATGGCTGATCGTGTCAATGTATGGCAAAAACACCAGAATATCATAAAGTAGTTAGCCTCCGATTAAGTAAATTAATTAAAATTTTAAAAATTGTGTCAATAATGTTTTTAAGAAACACCTTAATCAGTTTCTTTACAAATATTATTATTTTTGTTAGGATGGACGTTTGAAACCAGGAGATCAACTTGTCTCAATAAACAAGGAGTCTATGATTGGTGTATCATTTGAAGAAGCAAAAAGCATAATTACCAGAGCCAAGTTGAGGTAACTATTCTAGCCATAAGATAGAATGAATCATTTAGCATGTCTCCATAAAAATAGAAATTTAAGTTGTCCTAGTACTTACTTTAGACCCAAAACAAGTCTTTTCTGCTAATATTTGAAATGTCATCTTAGAATTCAATTGTACTGTATCCATAAAGTGATTTCTTTTTAATGCTAGGTCAGAATCTGCTTGGGAGATAGCATTCATAAGACAGAAATCTGACAGCAGCCATTTAGAAAATCCATCTTGTTCATCCCATTTACAAGCTACAGGAGAATATAGACCTCAAGCCTCAAAATTTAGCCTTATTTCTTCTCCTCCTGAAATACTAATTCCAAAGACCTCATCCACTCCCAAATCTACAGATGCCATTTTACCTTCTTTTAGGAGGAATCAGGTAATCTTACATTTCTCTGTTTGTTTCTCTGTTTGTCCATAAACCTCTGTGTGTCATTATGTTTGTTGTAAACATAATAGAACTATAATTTTGGTAATATAGTTTGTTAACCAATTGGTATTTCCTTGAAAGATCTTTTTTGTTTAAGATTTTTATGCTGTGCTATTAATAATTTTTCAGGTCAATGTATTCTATGTCAGGAAAATCATAATCAGGAATGGCATCTTGAAGATATGCTTAGATATACTCAAAACTGTGATATGAAATGTTATATTTATATTCAGATAGTCTCTCATATTATTCCATTCATTATTTTTTTTCTGTTTTCTGCTTGACTGAAGACGAGCAATCTTCCTTTTTGTTCCTCGGCTCTTTTCTACACAGTGTAGGCGGATATTGTTCCCTCACATGCATATGCTGGAATATAATTCAGCTTTGTTGTTGTTCAGTTGCTGTCATCTCCGACTCTTTGCGACCCCATGGACTGCAGGATATCAGGCTTCCCTGTCCTTCACTGTCTCCTGGAGTTTGCTCAAACTCATGTCCATTGAGTTGGCAATGCCATCCATCCATCTCATCCTCTGTCACCCACTTCTCCTCTTGCCTTCAATCTTTCCCAGAATCAGGGCCTTTAACAATGAATCACACAAAAGGGGGAGTTTCTACATGGAAATCAATATAATTACAGTCATCCTTTGATATGTGTAGATATCCACGACAACCTCCTCCCAGAGCCCCCACAGCAGATACCCAAATCCAAGGATGCTAAAGTTTCTTGTATACAATGGTGTTGTATTTGCATATAATCTATGCACACCCTCCCCTTATATTTTATATCATCTCTAGATTACACTTAATAGCTAATACAGTATAAATGCTATGTAAATAGTTGCTGGTGCTGCAAATTCAAGTTTTGCTTTTTGGAACTTTCTGGAATTTTTAAAAATAGTTTCAATTTGCTGTTGATTGAATATGCAGATGCAAAACTGGCAGATACAAAGGGATGACTGTAATTACTAATCACTACAGTGCAGTTAATAATGAATTATAGAATAGAGCATATAAAATAAACTTGAAACTCAAGTAGGCTTTTAGTCAGGGGGATAAATTTCATCATAGATGTCTTCAGTTTTGGGTCCATGCTAATCAGATATAGAGTTTAAGATTTTCTCTTAGCCCTTATACTTTTTCATTTGGGGTTATAATACCTTTTCAGAGACATGGTACATAGCCTTATATTTTGTTATCCTTGGTTATGGTAGAGCTTTAAAAGCAGCTGTTACTTTAATTTTAAATTGCTTTGTTTGAAGGTGAATATACCAAAATTTTAAAGGTTTCATATTTTCAGGACTGTTGCTTTAATCTCATTAATCATTCTTTTTATGTTAACATGAATACCTAGTCTGGTCTTTGACCTACTTTAGAAAATGACATTTCATATTCCTCATTTTCTTTCTTAGATAAAAACTGGATACAAGAAAACAGAAGAGATTCCAGTTAGTTCTTCAGACAACAGCCCTACAGATATGTCTAATACAGGTAAATGCACACTTAATTCCTTTTTCCTGTTATTTTTTTCAATTACTCTCTCAAGGAGGAGTGCATAAGGTGACAATAGACTTTAGAGAAGAGTGCATTGTTTCTTTTTTCTTCATTGAATAAAAGAGAAAAATTAATCTATCATGCAGTGGTCTCTGTTAGATTATGACTTTCATTGAAAATTTTCCTGAACAAGGGGTTGAAATTTTAAAAGATACATTATCATAATAGTGTTTATGAAGCTGTAATAATCAATGGACTGTTGAAACCACGTAATGAAAAGTCTTCTTTAAATCAAGATTAGATTTCCTTGTCCTTTTAGTGAAATCCTGGTGAGGTATATTAAATACACCTTTCAGAGAAATTATAGAAGGGAGCATGGCTTAAGAAAAGAAATACGTTTTATTTTCCTTGGAAGAGATTATATAGATATAAATTGGAAAACACTTGAGTATTATGAATTCAGATTGTTGGTTCTTAATTTTCATGAGATGACTTTTTGATGTTTTTAAACAATAAAGGATTAATTGTGTAAGTTACCCATAAAAAAAGGATTTTTATCAATCAATAAAGTGTTTCCAGGCTCAAATATCAAGAACACAATCTTCCCCTTAAATTTTCTCCAAAAGTTAAATGAGAAAACAAAGAAGAAAAACTATCCTTATAGAAAATTGTGTAGAAAAGAAGAGTTAATTATGTGTCTAAATTATTAAGAAAATTGTTACTTACATATTTTAATCTTTAGTAGCATTGTGTAGATTAAAACCACAAAATAAGAGTTAGTAAAAATTTTATAGTGTCATAGTCTGGGTTCAGTTCAGTTCAGTTCAGTCGCTCAGTCATGTCCAACTCTTTGCAACCCCATGAACCTCAGGAAGCCAGGCCTCCCTGTCCATCACCAACTCCCGGAGTCCACCCAAACCCATGTCCGTCGAGTCGGTGATGCCATCCAACCATCTCATCCTCTGTCGTCCCCTTCTCCTCCTGCCCCCAATGCCTCCCAGCATCAGGGTCTTTTCAAATGAGTCAGTTCTTCGCATCAAGTGGCCAAAGGATTGGAGTTTCAGCTTCAGCATCAATCCTTCCAGTGAACACCCAGGACTGATCTCCTTTAGGATGGACTGGTTAGATCTCCTTGCAGTCCAAGGGACTCTCAGGAGTCTTATCCAATACCACAGTTCAAAAGCATCAATTCTTCGGCACTCAGCTTTCTTTATAGTCCAACTCTCACATCCATACATGACCACTGGAAAAACCATAGCCTTGACTAGATGGACCTTTGTTGGCAAAGTAATATCTCTGCTTTTTAATATGCTATCTAGGTTGGTCATAACTTTCCTTCCAAGGAGTAAGTGTCTTTTAATTTCATGGCTGCAGTCACCATCTGCAGTGATTTTGGAGCCCAGAAAAAGAAAGTCAGCCACTGTTTTCACATCTATTTCCCATGAAGTGATGGGACTGGATGCCATGATCTTAGTTTTCTGAATGTTGAGCTTTAAGCCAACTTTTTCACTCTCCTCTTTTACTTTCATCAAGAGGCTCTTTAGTTCTTCACTTTCTGCCGTATGGTGGTGTCATCTGCATATCTGAGGTTATTGATATTTCTCCCGTCAATCTTGATTCCAGCTTGTGCTTCCTCCAGCCCAGCGTTTCTCATGATGTACTCTGCATATAAGTTAAATAAGCAGGGTGACAGTATACAGCCTTGATGTACTCCTTTTCCTATTTGGAATCATGTCCAGTTCTAACTGTTGCTTCCTGACCTGCATGTAGGTTTGTCAAGGGGCAGGTCAGGTGGTCTGGTATTCCCATCTCTTTCAGAATTTTCCACAATTTATTGTGATCCACACAGTCAAAGGCTTTGGTATAGTCAATAAAGCCATAGTCTGAGTTATTTTTGCAAAATACCACAGATTGGGTAACTTATAAACAACAGACATTTATTTCTCACAGTTGTGGAGGTTAGAAGTCCAGGGTCATGGTGCCAGCATGATCTGAGAGAAAGCCTTCTTGTGGTTGCAGTTCTCATTGTGTCCTTACATGGTAGAAAAGTCTAGGGGGCACTGTGGGTTCTCTTTTATAAGAACAGTAATTCCATTCATGAGGGCTCCACCTTCATGGTGTAAGCACCTCCCAATGGCCCCAGTTTCTAATACCATGATCTTGGGGGTTAGGATTTTAGCATAGAAATTTTGAGAGGACACAACATTCATACCATAGCACGTAGCTCCTGTACTTAACAGGAATTTATAGTGGATTCCATAGTGGTTTCCCTGACTTGGAGCAGTGTTTACCAGTGGGTTAGGAGCAATCTTTAGCCATCAATTGTATGCCTTTTTACTTAATGGGATTTGTTGGCCTTTAGAAACTTATTTAGTATTATTTCCTTTACATAATTAATTTCCTTTCTCTTGGTATATTGTTTTTATTTTAAATTGGGAACGCATGTGAGAAAAAGAAGATAGATGAAAGAAGCAAACAGTGGTGCAGAGGCATTTATGCAACTTGTTTTTAATTTTGAAAACAATTGAACTACTTAATGTGTCTTTTAGCCATTTATTTATTCAGTAAATGTTTACTGAGTATGTCATGTACTATCATGGTTCAGTAAGAATTGTAAAGGAATTAGAATATTTCTCGTGAGATACTTAATAGTATATTGTCAAATAAAATATGAGGTTAAAAACCTTCATTATTCAGATTGGAAAGCATTATATATGTGTATGTTTGTTTATGTATATGTGTGATTATTTTATTGGATAAGTACTTGACTATGTGCCATGTTCTGTGTTGACTAGAGCAGGAGGTGAGTAGTTTTGGGACTTTAAGATGTATACTGTCAGACTTCTCTTGTGCTCCAGTGGTTCACCTGCCAGTGCAGGAGACACAGGTTCAGTCCCAGTCTGGGAAGATTCGCATGCCCCAGGGCAACTCAGCCTGTGTGCCACAGGCAGTGAGTCCACAATCCATGGCTGCTGGAGCCCATGTGTCCTCGAGCTTGTGCTCTGCAACACGAGAAGCCACACAGTGGGAAAGAAGCCTGTGCACCACAACCAGAGAGCAGACCCCGCTCGCCACAACTGCAGACAGCCTGTGTGCAGCAGGGAAGACCCAGAAATCAGTCAATAAACAAGAGGAATATACTGTGTCACCTGAAGAATCCCATGGATGGGGAGCCTGGCCGGCTATAGTCCATAGGGTACACAAGAGTCGGACACAACTGAAGCGACCTAGCACACATGGCGCACACACACACACTATCTTATTGATGAATAACATACTTGCACAAGACATGTGAAGACATGAACAAAGTGGATTAAGAAAAGAAATTGTAAGTGACTGGAGTGTGATACAGGGAAAATACAATGTTAATTACCCGGCCATGAATGCAAACTTAGAGATTCAGATCTCTGTTCCCAACTTATTAGCTGAATTAGCTTATATTGAAATAGTTTCCTCACGGGGTTCTTATGAGTATTAAACAAGATTGTGTATATTAAGCAATTTGTAGTTAGTACAGAGAATATGCTCAGTACATTTTGCTATTATTAATTTTACAGAAACTGAAGTTTAGAATATAGCTCAGATAATATTCCAGGACATGTATTTTAGAGCAAAAGTGAAAGCTTCTGTCTTTCAATTCAATTTTACATCCTCCTTCTCTACCCCTGAAACTAGTACATAGTTACTGATCTGTCACAAAATACCCAGGTGGTGTTCACGGCAAAGAATCCACCTGCCAGTGCAGGAGACACGAGATGAGGGTTTGATCCTCGATCGAGAAGATCCTCTGAACTAGAAAATGGCAACCTGCCCCAGTATTTTTGTCTGGAAAATTCCATGGACAGAGGAGCCAGGTGGGCCACAAAGAGTCAGACATGACTGAGTGACTGAACAAGATACAGAAATCAACAGAGGAAAATTTCTTGGCCAAAGTCAGACATCATGTATATCTTGAAAGAAGTGATAAATGTCAGTGGATGCAAGAAGATAAGAGATCATCCTAAGTGAATGAGGCACCATCATCAAAAGCAAAAAAGTAAGGATGAGCTACATGTCAGGTGCTCCTAGGAGGCAAATCCAATTAGAGCAAGGAGATCCTACAGTAATGAATAAACTGAGGTAAATTTGCACCAGTGAATATAAAAAATGATGCTTGATTTTGTTGTAGAAAAATAATCTACTGAAAAATTTATTTGAGTGAGTAAGCTCTATGTAAATATTAAAATGCAATTAGAATGGGAAATTTTTCTAGAGTTGAAATGGAATTGACTTTAGGACCAACCATTTTCTTCCACAAGAATGTAGTAGACAAGATATTTCTGAGGGGAAAAAAACAAACTCAACTCTAAATTCTGTAGGTAACTCACATACATTGTGACTTGTTCTAAGTAGTTATTTATAAATTGTTCCCAAATTAGATCCTTAACTGTCACATCTAAACTCCATCAGCCAGCTGGTATTTATTAATCTTAAAAATATATGAGTGTTAATATAATCTCAACAAAAATAAACTTGATGAGGCAAATCTACCCCTGTTCCCATCTCAAAAACATTCTAAACTGTAAAACTGGTTGTGGTTAGTCGATCAGTCATGTCTGACTCTTTGCGACCCCACCTCTGTCCATGGGGTTCTCCAGTCTAGAATACTGGAGTGGGTTGCCATGCCCTCCTCCAGGGGATCTTCCCAACCTAGGGATCGAACCCAGGTCTCCCATATTGCAGGCAAGTTCTTTACTGTCTCAGCCACCAAGGAAGCCCAAGAATACTGGAATGGTCTAGTAATTTTCTGGTAGAGTCTTTAGGGTTTTCTATGTAGAGGATCATGTCATCTGCAAACAGAGAGAGTTTCACTTCTTCTTTTCCTATCTGGATTCCTTTTACTTCTTTTTCTGCCCTGATTGCTGTGGCCAACACTTCCAAAACTATGTTGAATAGTAGTGGTGAGAGTGGGCA